TTATCTTCAGTGATATGATGAATACCTACATAGTTGTGTCAGTAGCAAGCGCATTATATTTTGAACAAAGCTTCTTTACCAAGTGGCATGTATGATCCTGCTGTTAGTGTAACGTCTGCAGAAAAAATACAGTGTACACACTAATCATTTCATATGGCCTAATCAATACCTGGAAATTGCAGGAGAAATGATGTATTGTATGTGATAGACATGTAGAGTCAGATAACAGTCTTTTGATTATTGGCACTTTCAATAAAGGGGAAAACTAATAATGTCTTTAAAGCATATGGTATTTGTATAATCAAGGAAAATTTCCCCAGCAACAATAATTATATGAGCCCGTTACAAGTTCCTCTCCTAATTATCTGTTTTATTAGTAGATCATATCACCTTTCATTAGGGGACGCTTAAAAACATAACGAGACATTGCTTTAATGAAGATATACACATATATGCACACACACATTTCTGTGTCTGTGTTCATGTGTATCGCTATAAAGAGTGGTATATTCTCAAACGGCATGGGCTATATATCAAAGTGTGAATGTCCTTATAACGAAAACAAAATGTATTTATAATGAATAATCTCTCACCATAAACAATATGGAGTTAAGAGGGTTTATGGACTGTATCCACAAACCATTCATAATCAGTGTCAACAGCTCAATATACAGGATTAAGAATCATAGATCTCAGTGTTGGAAGGGGCCTCAAGGGCCATCTGGCTAATCTTCTACCGTTTCAGAAATGAGCCAGTGGAGACTCAGGATAGTTAAGTGAGTTACTACTCAAGGTCACTGTGCTGTGAACACACACACACACACACACACACACAGAGTCATTTCTCTAATGAACAAACAAGGTGGCCACATGTCATAGGATGGCCTGAAAACAGATATCTTTATAACAAAGCCTTATGGGCGTTTCAGGAACTAACCCTGCTTAGATGGGCTATATGCTGAGAGTACCTCATGGTTTCTGTTGTATTGCAAATACTGACTTCAGAAATACACCTAGGTCTAATGTTTCCTATCTCTCTAACTGACTAATCCATTTCTAAGAAAGAGTATAATAAGAGGGGATCACAGTAGACAAGGGCAAGTGTCCTCCTCTCTATGTGAAAGCTTCCTTTCTATGAATTTCGCTGTCAGTCATCTGACAATAACAGTAGATGTGAGAGGAAGTTTAACCAAGAAGAAAGGAGTACAAAGCTCTAAACTCTGCTTTTATGCTTCCCCTCAAAGACTATGTGACCAAGAGAAGCCAGATTTTATGAAAGAAATACAGTAGATGCATTTTACAATGCTGATATTAGAGGTCAGGGCCAATATCCTTAGTACAGGCTAAATGCATTGCTGAGATTTCAGGGCAAGGAGGTACATTTTAAGGGAGCATGATCTGACCTGTAGTATATCCAAATCTAAGCCATGTTATAACAAGCTTCTATTGTGTTCCTCTTGAGGTAGTTTTAAAGACTAATGAGTTAACCTTTGTGAAGTACCATGAGACCTTCAGGTTAAGGAAGCCTGTATCAAGTATCAATTCAGTGCCGCTAACAATACTCAATGTACCTAGAAAACAGACTGAAAATCATCAGGAAACCATTCACTGCCGTCCCCTTAGTATCAGAGAAACATGGTTAACATGCTAACAGTAAGCTTCATGAGCTGAGAGGAAGAAAATGAACAATGGCAAAGAGCATATCCCCCTTTGAAATGACATGATCCATTATAAGAATCTAATGTTAACTTGCTTCCTGTACTGAGCACACTCAATTAAAAGACTGCACAGTGAGATCATCTTGATGGTCAAATATGCTCTGTGGGAACAACCTCTGAGGAGCTTAAAAATCACAAGACTATTTCTACCATGACAATGGACGTTTGGAAGGCATTTCCTCCCCTTATTTTTCAAGTTGGTAGTTTTATTAGGAAGCCTTTAGCCTAAGAGGCTGTTCAGTTTTGGGTAATACCTATGCACCCTTACACTTCTTTGAGCAAGAGATGCTTCTAGTGTTCTTTTTCTATTGGGTCCAGAATAGATGAATGTGGCTTCAGTGCAGGATCTCTGCAAAAATGTGTCATTCATGTGCTTGATATTTGATGCCCTTCATCTCCTTAAACTTTCCTGTTTCAGTAAACTAATCTGTCCACATTAGTCCCAGTTCCCTAACTCTTCCTTCTTCCTTTGGTGGGGCTCAGGGTGGAAGGGCTGAAAAGAAAGCTGGACATGAAAAAAATCATCAGGTTGAGTTTCTACTTGCAGGTTTGCAACTGGTCAGGTTTATGGCCTTGGACAGGTTATTTAAGCTCTCAGGCCCTCCGTTTCCTTGTTTCAGAAGGTTGTACATTTCTTGTTCATTGCTTACTGTCTGTCTCTCCCTGACAGACTAAGCACCACTAGTGAGGAATCTTTGTTTTCCTCACTGATGTAGCCCAAGAGCCCAGCATGGTAGGTGCTGAAGAAAATTTGTTTAACAGATGAGTATTTCATATCTCAGTTAGCGATGTTGCCATTCAGCCAGTCTAGCAATGTAGAAATCATGGAATTGGTGAATATTTCTGCCTCTACTTACACTTACACGGCAACTACCTCCTATATCCTAACCTCTCTCATGTCTGTCCGTTCCTCTCCATCTGCACTTTAATTCCCTTATATTGAGTAGTCATCATTTTTTACTATATTCTTCGAACCATTTTCAGAGTGATATTTCTAAAATGCAAACATGGTCACAATGCTAACCTTCTTAAACCCCTTCAATGGCTTTCCCATTGTCCTCAGAATAAAGCCCAAGCTCCTAGGAAAGGCATACAGGGCCTTTCACAATCTGTAAAGTCTTTTGTGGCCACTTCCTAGACCTTCAGATATTGTTAAATCTGCCCTGCATACTGCATCTCTCTCCCTTTTATAGCATTTAGTGAAAGATGTTCTAAATAGTTACTCACACTTGTCTCCTCAAAAATAGATTGGTTTCATCTTAAAGTATCCCATTGCCTGACATGCCGACGGAGACATAACAGGGGTTCCATAAATGTTTGGCAAGTAAACAATTCAATGAGGAGGTAGACTATATTCAAAGAAACCCAAAACACTAGTGTTCATTCAAGAGTTAAGACTTCTCCAAAGTCTTGCCTGACTGTAGGGCCTCTTCTCAGAGAAATAACCTACTGCTCCCTCTTTGTGCTCTCCAGCACATGGCCCTGGACATAATCTAAAAAGATTTTTTTATCCATGGTGAATTAGATGATGGGCTCCTAGAGGACAGTATAGGATAGTGGTTAAGTGCACAGAATGGGCTAAGGTATTCTGAAGCCAGAATACCTTAGTCCAAGTTCTAACTCTGACACCTGTTGTATGGCTAACTTTGGAAAAGTGATTTAACCTCTTTGTGCTTCACTTTCCTCATCTGTAAGGTAAGTATAATTACAGTACTTATCTCTTAGGTTGCTGTGAAGATTAAATGAATACATGTACGACACTTAGCCTGATGCCTAATACATAATAACTGTTATGTAAATGTGTGCTCTAATAATACTACTAATGCTATTATTATTTTAAACGTGAAGCTCTAGGCCAAACTATATCTGACCCATGGAAGGATGGAATGTGTTCAATAACATTTAGTAAATAAATTGATCATCAGATTAGAGCCATACTCTACAGCCTTATAATGCCCAGTAACTTCCCTTTTGTAACCTTCTTCTAACTTGTTCAATGTGCCTCCCCGACTATACTATAAGCCCCTTTCATGTAAGGACCATGACAGTCCCATTCACCACTGTATCTCCAGCACCAAGCACAGGACTGGAGACTTTTCGGTTCAGTGGCACCAAAGGTCCCACAGAGCACCTATGGCTCCTACTTATCACATATCATTTTACATCCTTAAAATCCTTAACAAAAATAGGCAGAACCTTCATAGGAGTTATCATTTAGTAATTCTACTCATTTAATGAGTGCATGGTCTGTTGCTAAGAAGAAAAGTTAAAGAATTATTCCTTATTTTTAGCTTAGGTAGAAAAACAAGTCATGTACACAATTATCTACACCATGATGCCTTTTTTACTCTCTAGCACGCAAACTGTCAGGAATATAGTCAATAACATTGTGATAACTATGGATGGTGTCACATGGGTACTGGAAATATCGGGGGACCACTCTGTAAAGTATAAGATTGTCTAACCACTATGCTCTATATTGGAAACTAATACAGAACAATATTGAATATAAACTGTAATTTAAAAATTAAAACAGAAGTTCTTTGAAAAAAATTGTAGTTGGTCTTGGTGGGTAGGTTGGATTTTCATAAGTGGAAAGGTAACAGCATTCCTTGCTGAGGAAAAGGCATAGAGAACAGTGTGACGTATTGGGGGTAAAGCAAACACAGATTACTTTAGCAGAAAGAGGGATTTACGCAGAAAGCAGAAGTAGAAGACAGTCTGGAGATAGAGATTTGAAATGGTTTGTAATAAGAGGCCAGGATATTTGAAGTTTATCTATGGACAATGGAGAACTGTGGATGATGTTAGGGTGGGGAATAGGAAAATGAAATCACAGTTGTGGGAATAGAAATTGGGGAACAATATGGCAACATATAAATAAGCAGAGTTCCTGGGCTAAGTTGGGTTTTTAAGTGATGGGGCACCCAGTGGAAACATGTAGCAGATGGCTGGAAATGAAGGATTATTTGAGTTTGGGGAAATATAGATTTGAAATAATCTGTATAGATCTGATAGTGGGGGGCTTGGGAATGGAGGAAATAACTGCAGAATACAAAATGAGGACAGAGGTTCTAGCACAGACCTACAACGATGAAAACTACAATAAAAAACCCCAGCAGCATGTTGTATATAAAAACCCAGTAACATACTAGCCTAAGAAGTACTTGGAAACCCCTTACGACCCATGAAAGGCATACAGATGAGACCTTAAGGAGTACTGCCTTCAGGCAAAGACCAGTGAGGACCTCAGAGGAGGAAAGAGAGACAAGTCCAATGTACCTGTTGAGCAGTCAGATCCTGTCCACTTGGGGTCACAGCTGCACATTCCAGTGTCCAGAAGAAAAGTGCCATGTCCTGAGCACTGCTCCTGACATATAGGAAGTGGAGTTTCACAGTTGATCCCTCCCCAGCCAGTAGAACAGTGACATTCTCCTTTCACACAGATGCCGTGGCTGGAACACAGCGGGTCCAAGCAGTCCTCTGAAGGGCCAAAAAACGGGGGAGTTTTAAAATGAACATGAATGGCCACCACATGACACTGAGATACACTGATTTCCTAACAGTACGTCATTTCTGCTGCTTTCATTAGGCAATAACATGACTGAGGTCAGCACGGTGTTCAAACCAGAAAATTATTAACACTTAAGAATGTGGTGAGATATCATGAAGATTGCATCCTAAGTTTAGAAACAGGAAAGCACAGACATGTTGCGGGAAATTGTCAGTCATGTGCAGCACCCCCACAAGAATGGCTGGGTGGACCAGTGTGGGCCTTCGATAGGAATTCTTCGGCTTGGAAAGAAGCCCGAGGAGTTCTGGGGTCATTCCCTGCCTTTTCTGAGGCTGGAATCATAGCTCCCAGAAATGCCTTGTACTTAATGCGTCCAGAGGAGCTGATACATTTCAAAGTTTGAATTATTCAAGATATTGACAAAATGACCGCTGTTGCATGGAATTCACACAATGCAACCAGTCTACTGTACTCTCTCATTTATTCCTTAGAAGCACCGAAAATGCAACATGTTAAACCCAATTTCAAAAGTCCTTTCTTGTGGCTCCTCCTTCCATCAGGACTCAGTGATAGTTTCTAACGTTTAGGATATCACTGCTTCAATTCTTTTTGCCCCCGATTCTGTGAGTCTGGGAATTTTTGAACACATGTATAGTATGTGAACACACACATATATTTATATGTGTGAACTGTATTAGAAGTAGATTCCTACGCTTGCCTGGGGGAGCATTGTTTTATGCTTTTCACTGAGTGACCATGGAAAATGGGAAAGTTGATTTCCAAACTTCTAGTCTTCCCATACAAATAAGATGAGACAAAATAATTGACGACGATGCGGATGCATGCTTTGAATTGCCTTTCCAGCAATGGAAAAAAGCTGATACAATCTGCCATCATTTGCAAGGCTGGCCTAGTTTTAGGCTGTGGGGTGGCCATGGAACAGAGGGATTTTTAACAAGCATTATCATATTTCGTGTGATTGCCTTTATAATTAGCCCATGATCTCAGGATCATCAGCACAATGCTTTAATACCTGAGCTAATCAGCAATTAAATATCAGAAGGTTCATCTAATTTTATTCATTCGTTATTTTAGAAGAAGGCCATTTGATTATATTAAAATACAATAAAAATCTGAATAAATAATATTTAACTTAATATAACTCATTTTATTAAAAATGCCACCTTCAACGAATAGGTAAGATATACTTAAACCAGAGGCATAAAGTTATATGGCTGAAGGGGCCAGGCAGGTGGCAAACCGGAATGAATGAGGTGGGCTGGATGTAAGGTAACGGAGTGTGCTGGGAGCGAACTGAGAGCAGTTTGAAGGAAACTACTGCCTCTTGGCTCCAGCCGATTGCTACCACGTAGGAATGTGAGCCCAGGGTTATCAGATTTTCGAGTTGTTCATGAGAGGCTAGAAACAGAGATTTTTATATGACACTTCTATTTCATTTTGGCAAATAAGTCACATTAAACAACAAAAACACCACCACCACCACCACCATGTGAACCAAACAAGGCCCATCCATAAGTCCAGTTGAACCTGTGGGCTCATGGTCTGTGATGTCCGACTTACAGCAGTTTTTTCTATTGTATATGAAAAGTTTAGACCACTAAATATGGCGCTCCATGCTAACTTGGCTATTTTACAATTTTTTCTATTGATGCCTGGAATGCTATGTCCTTCTTCAGCTGTTTACATAATTTAAATAAAAGGGTCTAAATTCATTAGGTTAGTTTTCATGGCAAATTGTAGATGTTGGGATGCCACCATTTTTTGGGGGGCGGGGGTGAATGTGTGTGTGCGCATAGCATCTGAATTTACAAATTCATTATCATGATTGCAGTTGGATCACCATACAAACAATTTCCAAAAGATTGCAGTTGGATCACCCTACAATTTCCAAAAGTATCTCAGGAACTTGGTGCTTTGTCTAGGTCCCATGCTATTTATTGGAACAGATACAATCTTCGCACCAAAATTCTACTACTGTTAATGGGAGGTGAAAAGCTAAACTCTTGCTTGCTCATGGAGCGGAATGAGATTAAACCCTTTAGAATGCTGTGTAATAGTCTTAATGAGCCATCTTTAAAAAGCAATTATAGTGCATTTTCAGCAGCCTCTTTCCTGAACAATAGTTGTGATGAGACCCTCTCCCATGGTAATGGTTTCATATTATTTCTGAAATCAGTCTCACTTGAGGAACGTGGCACAAAAAGGTCTGATTACTAGTAAATTTATTTTCCAATGTGTCTCTTTAAATGATAAAACTCTTGCCATTTCAAAATAGGTTTTGTGGGTGTAAAGGCTCCTTTGGGGTGAATTTGAATATAAAGGTACTGCCTTGAAACTCATTAGTGGTTAAGTCTTCTTCCTTAGGCACGGAGGTCAAGTTTAGCATGAGGTAGGTAAAAATAAATAATAGGAAACAATAATAATGTTAATTACAAATCACTCCCAAAGAAAACATTCATGAAATGGTTCCAAATGTGCATATATTATTATCTTTATTATGTGCTTTAAAGGAAGATGCAGCCTAGTGCACTCTGTAATAATGAAAGCATGCGAATTAACACCTAAAATCATCAATATGGAAATTCTCAAGTTATAAAACAGTGTTAAAATGAGGAGGGAAATGCCATTTTTCATGACTGCTCTGCAAGGGTCACAGATACAGCCTCATGTTGGTATTAGAGACTGTCAGGAGAGGCATGAGCTCCCCTGACTCCAGCTCCCTGCTCCATGCACAAAGCAGACGTGTTGAGCACTTATGGGCTGCTAAGACCACTTATATCTCTACTAGAAGCATAGAATGATGCCTTGGACAATCCAGTGGGAGAAAAGCTTGAAGTGAGAGATGGAAATGGGGCTCTGACCTTCCTCGCATATCTCTCCTTTGTAGCCCGGCACGCAGATGCAGACGCCCATGATGCAGGTGCCGTGGCCAAAGCACGTCGGGTCAATGCACTGTTCTTCTGGCACGTCGCACTCTGGCCCCTTCCAGCCGTTTCGGCAGACGCAGTGGCCTTTCTCGTACTCGCCGTTCCCACCACACAGCACGGGGCACGAATCTGAAGGTCGGCAAATGAACTCGGTAATGTTCTCAGAATGCTTTTAAAATCTCCAATGAGCAATTCTCTATTGATTCTTGTATAATATATCAGGAAAAAAAAAATGGTACTAATTCTGTCTTAGCCTTTATTAAATAGGCATAAACAGAATTTGACTCTATGATTACAAAAAGAATTTTCCTTTTCCGGGAGTGGGATAAAGGTAAATTATAAAACTATCCTGAATGGAGAAATTATTTCGAGTATTTGATTTTTAGTCCATCAGACACTTAAATAATAGTTACTATCATCATTAATATAAGGTAGGGGTTTTCTCTCTTATGGCTTTTCTTTCTCAAGAAGAAATATGCTACTTTTAGCAGGGAGAATGGAAAATTTGAAAAACTAATACATAGGGAGTTATTCATTTTACAGAATGTTATCTTTAAAAGGTTGTGCCTTTGCTTGGCTGGGAGTGGCTCAGTGGTTGAGCAGCGACCTAGGATCCAGGAGATAGTGGTTCGATTCCTGGTCAGGGCACATGCCCAGGTTGCGGGCTCGATCCCCAGTAGGGGGTATGGAGGCAGCAGATCAATGACGGTTCTCTCATCATTGATGTTTCTCTCTCTCTCTCCCTCTCCCTTCCTCTATCCGAAATCAATAAAGATATATTTAAAAAAATAAAAATTAAAAAAATAAAAGGTCATGCATTTAAAGAGGTCTATGCTGGACAGATGTCTACTCCCATAATACACTGTGCAGACTTTCAGTAGAGCACTTATTCTGCTGTCACTGTTCGTCTCCCTATTGAAACCATGGGCTCCTTGAGGGCAGGGCCTGTATCTTCTGTCTTATTTTTTTAATACCAGCACCTCCACTGCTGCCCCCACCTCCTCAAGACCTATCACGGTACTGGGAATCTAGCAAGTGCTATAGAATTCTCTATTGAATAGAATTTAACCTAAAGAAATCAAGTGGCTGAGAAACCGGAGATGAAAGTATTAGCAAACTGAGAACTTTAAGAACACATAAAAAAATGGGCAGAAAACATCTCTAAAGTCATAACTGTAAGCCTATTAAACTGTGGGCAAGTCTAGGAAGCAGTTAAGTTGGCTAAGTTTAACTTCTGACATTCTAGTCTTCACTTTCTAGGCTATTTGCCCATTAGGTGGTTGCCCACTCCATCCAGTTTACATGGGCGTGCATAAGCAATCATCTGCCTTGCCCAACTCTTAAAGTCCATCCATTATGAATCAGTTTATGCAGGACATCAAAATATCATGTAGTGGTGGGGTCAGACGATCGAGGTACAAATCCCAGCTGTTAGGTAACCCTGGTTAAGTTATTTTACCTCCATGAGGTTGTTTCTTTGTCCATAAAACTGAGATAATAGCAGATCTACCTCACAGGACTGTGCTGGGAAGCAGGAATTAAATGACATAACACAGAGTGTTTAGAACAGTTCCTGGCGGAATAAGTGCTCAACTTTCGGTAGTGGCAGTGGGCAGTGTTGCTGCTATTGCTGCTGCTACTATGACCACTACTGTCACTCCTCCTCTCGAGTTCTCAACTGGAGTACATTTTCCTAAGTCAATCAGAATGACAGAACAACATTACCTCTAGCACAGTCAGGCCCAAGGAATCCTGGGAAACAATGACAATGGCCAGAGATACACTCTCCATTTCCATTGCAATTAGTTGAACAGTCATCCATTATTTCTATTAAGAGAAAAAGAAAAAGAAAATGAAGAAATCTACAGCCTACAGAGTCCTTAATTTTTTTAAATTGCAAAAACTCTGGGCCCATAACATTCCTGCCCTCTGCTGTTTATGGAGCACTTACTATTTAAAACCAGATGCCAGAGATTTCTGTAAGATGTCACATGCAGTTCCAAATTATTAAAAGCACCCTAGAGCTGCTGAATTGGCTATTCAAGAGTGGAACTAAAAACCAACTTCATCTCTAAAGTGCATAAAGGGTCTAGATGAATTGTATTCTCATGAGACATTCATGAGAAAGTAAAAAATGTACTAGGATTATAGGACATTTCTTAAAAGCAAAATGGGCTTAAAAATGCAACAAGAAGACTAAACCTACTGTTTATTTTTAAAGTTTAGGTTGCAGCAAATAAAATTGTCTTCTCTAGCACCTTCAAATGTTTAATCTACTATCTCTACAGCTTAAATATAATAATCAGTATTTCATTTTCATTAATAAGTGACAATGGAAGGCTTTTAAAGTAAGTGTTCATATTAAATTCACCACCACTAAAAGCTTTGGAACCTAAGTATTTTGTTGAGAAATGCTTTCTTGACTGTAAATGCTTATCATTCCTCTGCCACTAATTTCCCTTCAATCCATTCTTAGAAAAAAATAGGTTTTAGGGGAATTGAAACGGTTTTAAAGGTGCCCATAGGTAGTTCTGGTGCCATAAAGATGTGCACTGTAAAGAACTTGAGTAAGTCTTCTGGTATTTTGACTGAAAAGGTATAAAGTTATATGAAAGCCAGTCTGACAATGACTTTAAAAATTATGTTGCCTTAGCTGGTTTGGCTCAGTGGCTGGAGCATTGGCCCGCAGACTGAAGGGTCTCGGGTTGAATTCTGGCCAAGGGCATGTACCTCAGTTGTGGGCTCGATGCCTGGCCCTGGTCGGGGAGAATGCGGGAGGCAACCAGTCAATGTGTCTCTCTCACATCGATGTCTCTCTCTCTCTCTCTCTCTCCCCACCTCCCTTCCACTCTCTCTGAAAAGCAATGGAAAACATATCCTCAGGTGAGGATTTAAAAAAAAATTATAATGTTGTACATGTGAAATGTATGTAATGTTATTAATCAATGTTACCTCAATAAAAATTAATTAAAAATTTAAAAAGTGTTTCTAATTTAAAATTGTATTCATGTATATAATAGCATCAAATTCCAAGTTCATGAACTATGATGATATGTATGTTTTACTCTCGTGTATGTTTTTTAAAAATCATCTTCTCATTACTCTTTTCTGTAAGTTTTCTATACTTAGCAGTCTTGGATTCTGAGTTTTATGTTTTGGTTTATTAAACTCATACTGCTCATATGCACCAGTTTTTCCTTTTCAATCCAAATTATCTACTTCATCTAGTTCCACTTGGATAAGCTATTTCCAATTAGAAGGAGATGTTCTAGGAAGTAGCCTGGGCATCTTCCTCTGCACTATGAGAATTTATAATGAGGGTGAAGAAATAGCATTTCTTCAGTTGAGGCCTTTCGACCACCTGTGTCAGTAGGATCACTTGAGGCTCTTACAATGCAGATGCCTGGGCTTCACTCCAGCTCTACGGAATCTGTCTGTGAGGACTGTGGCCCAGTAATCTAAATACTAACAAATACAGCAGGTGATCCTGCAGGTACCCAAGTCATCAAAGCACTGAGAACCAATGCTTCAAATAAACTTCCATAGATAGAGAGCTTCTGATCTACACTTGGAGTTCTGCCCTGGAGCAGAACAAATGCAAGAGGAAGAAAATGGTATCTAGTCCAATTGGGGGATTCTTAGAAAGCTGAGAATGAATCCAGTGGCTTTGTAGACAGCCAGCCTATTATCAATGAGAGGGCATCTTTCTTCTCCACCACATGTGAATACATCGGATAGCCTTTTGTAGCTTTATGACGATCTGTTCTCTTATCCCTGTCTTAGAAAACTGAAACAGATAAGAAATTGACAATTGGCATTTCTGAACTACAACTGGGCTGGTAAGAACGTTAATATTTGACAAAGAGCTAACCATTTTTAACTCATAAAAACATTTGTTATTTTCAGAAAATTATCAATTTATAGAAAAGGTCATTATGAAAAAGCACAGTCTTTTTTTTTTTTTTCATTCTAAGATGGAACAATTATTTCTTTATTTTCTACTTATCTAGCTTTCTTGTACTAAGTAGCAGCAGCAGTTTTTAAATCTACATTTGGGTTTCCCCTGCCCTGGATGGTTAATAGGAGGCCGTGGAGGAAGTTTTTCAAAGTAAATACAGTTGAATTTAATTTCTCACCAGTTCCTATTGACAACTTTAGGGAAGTAGTCTTGTGGGAATGTGGCTATTGTAAAAAAAAAAAAATTAATAAAGTTTGCTATCAAAATAAATAAAAATCCCTACATCTTATTGACTTATCTAAAAGCTGTCTCTGGGCCCACACTGCAGCACAGAGCTTAACACCAGCAATGCAAATGAGAAGAAAAGGCAATATAGGAGGTTTTGGAAGCTGCCATCTCTACAGGGTATAAAAGAGACATTGGGATGGTCTAGGGACTCCAGGAGGAGGATGGCTACAGCAGGATCACATAAATAGCCAGTAATGGGAAAAGAAAAAAAAAAAAAGTATTTATCTATTTATGTTGGCCTCCAGGAAACTTTGCCTTCTATGTTTTTAATCTTACTGCAGAATCACTTCTTAAACACCAGTTCATTAGAGTAGAGAATCATCTTAAAGTTCTATGCTTATAACTCTGTTCTTACACGAGAGTCTAAAGCCCCTTCATATCTGCGTCTGCACTGAGAATGAGTTTTGCTTCTGGCAGGTTTTCTCATAAGAGAAACTGAAGGTAATGAATAATCTATGGACTGAGTATGGTCTAAAGGGCATGGTTTAGGAATCAGACATACTGGGTGTCTCAAATCTCAATGTTGCCACTTGCTCACTGTGAGAGTTTAACAAATTATGCACTGATTCCAAGCCTTTGTTCCCTTATTTGTAATATAACTGTCACTATACCTATGCTGTCAGGGTTGTGATGGGAATCAAACCAGATAACTGAATGTAAAGCATCTAGTATAGTGCTCGGGGCAGAGTTGCCCTCCACAGATGATGATAATCCAGAGCAGATGGGCTGAGGTTAGCAGATACTGACAACTCTGCCCATACTACTGGAAAATTGTGTGTGTTAATATAGAGCAGGGGCTAACCTATGTTAGTCATTCAGTAAATGTTGCTTATTAATACTGTCTTGAGCCTTATTAGTAGCAGGCCAAATAGGGTTAAGATTAATCAACTGATTCTAGTGTTATGAATAGAGTGAGAATAAGCAGCATTTAGAATAGTTAAACTCACACAAACCTTTATTTAAGCAAACATTTTAGCCTGTTTTTACTGAAATTGAGATAAATTATAAAAACATTACAAATTAATGGGGAGAATTTAGAGTAAGTAACATACGCTTTTCATTTTTTTAGAAATTTACTTGGATTCTCTCTAAGTAGAATTACAGGAAAAATGTTTCTCTCCTAATTTTGAAAGACAACAGAAAAGTAAACAAACTGACTTGCATAAGGAAAAAACAAGTATGCTGTTGCATAGAAAAGTGACAACTTAGTATCTGGATAATAACACTTGTATTTCAAAGGTCAGGTTCTTTTTGGGAGGAAGTAAGGGACAGGAGAAAAAAAAACTCCAAGCATGTTTCTGGATCTACTGATTTTTTCAAAGGTTAATAGTTTGGTTAGTGTTGTAACTTAAGCTTAGAGGTAAGGATAACTGGAAGAGAGAAAAATCTCCACAAGTATTTTAGATCTTTTAATTGCTCGATTTCTTAGGAGAAACACATCCTCTCATAACTCACTGGCATTTGCCTTATTAAAATTGGGCCTTGATAGGAAAATATCGTGAAAGGTCTGCTTCCGTTGAATCTACCCTAACGAGTCTGTGCACAGCAAAAGTGCCCTGACTTAAAATAGTTTTTTTTTTTCCAATTTAAAAAACATTTTCTCTTTTGAAGATATAAAATCAGTGAAGTATTTCTCTAGGGGTAAAAATCATCAGTGCACTTTTACTACCTTTCTGACTACTTTAGAAGAAAGTTTTTGATAATCTTATGGCTGGAATACCATTCTCTACTGACTCAAGGTCTTCAGCATCAAGAAAAAATAGAACAGAATTGTTATAAAGAGCAGATGGTATATCTATTAACAGTCAATACATGTTCGTAAACATATGGTTGAACAGGTTAACTAAGAGGGTAAAGTGGCGAGAGCTGTATAGAAAACTGACAGCTGTAAAACATTTCCTTTTCTTTGAAAAGACAAGTGGTTTTAAGAACATTCACACAATAAACTACTGTGTCAATGAGTTGTTTACCCTCAGGGCTCTAAAATTGCTAAAAAGCTCAGCTTTATTCACACAAAGGGTCAAGGGGAATGAATTCACCCAAAAAATGACAAGAGTGAGATGTCTGTGAGTAACTAGGGTGAACTGTGAATAAGAGTGCTGAAGACACTGTATGAAAAAGAACATGTTTTAAAAGACCCTGAGAACACTGAAAGAGCCATTGTGATGATTTTTCAACTCAAACATTCTAAAAGAAAGGGCTCTGAATGACCCAAGTTATTCTTTCAGACTCTTCTCCATATATTCTCGGTTGTATTTTGAAACCTTAAAGGTTGGTTCTAGAATCTGGAATTGTAAAGAAGAACTGGACTGATGCTAGGTTTTCCATTGTAAAAGGTGCTTATTTGCTTCTTTTTTTTTTTTTTTTTGATTGTCTAAACAAATTTTATTGAGTTTTGCAGGTTTTAGTGCTTTATATGAACAGAATCACACACTATATATATGTTTCTGTGACTTCCCCTTTTAACTTTCTTTTTTAAACTTATCTTTATTGTTGAAAGTATTACAGATGTCCCCCTTCCTTCCCCTCATTGATCCCCTTCACCCTGCATCCACCCCCCCCAGGCCCTCTCCACACTATTATCTGTGTCCATAGGTCATGCATATGAGCTTATTTGCTTTTTGTTTTTAATAGACCATGAATTAACAGAGCTTCCCCTGCTTAGACCTTTCTTCACTGAAGTTGTTCTATGTAGACAGAGTAGTTATTTCTACTGAAAACATACAACACAGTGCATGGCAAGTATCCTAAAATAGCAGCAAATAATAGAGCTTTTAAAAAAATCTTCATCAGCATTTAAACCACATTAATGACAACAATATAAGCCTTTCTCATCGTGACCTATCCTGAATAATGAGTTTCAGGCAGAATGAGCAATAAGCTTAAATAACATCTGTATTACTTTAACCATTGACTGTGTCTTTCTAGAGTTATACTGTCAATAATATAACTATCAAAATAATACCCAAGACAGCTAGCTTACCAATTGCTGTAGTTAACACAAATACTTGTTCCATCTTTTTCCCATCGTTGTAAAATGCCAGATACCAAGGCCCTTGGTCCATGTACTCTATGAAACCTGTCTCCTGCAGTGAGGTTAAGATCAGGTTCCGAGGGGAGTGGTGGGTATCATCAGAGCCCTTGGAGTCATGCTTCACCAGTTGCTTTCCATCCATTAGTTTTACGAAATCAAACTGGAACAAATACAAACACAAATATGAGCCTCTACTTTTACTTCTCGACTGACAAACATCTCTAACTACAATTGCTCTATTTCATACCCTTATGCTTTGGAGGCAGGCAAAGAGAAAGAAGAAGTTATATACTTTTAAGTAAATTTAAACCCAAAAGTATATTATAAATTCTGAAGAAAAAAAAACCCAAAAAACCCACCATACTTATAAATGTTATAAGCCTTTCAGTTTTGGAGTATTCAAAACAGTGATTTAAAAAGAAATAAACCAAGACATAGAAAAATATCCTGTTTGGTATTATGCTAGAGAATCTTGATATTTTACTAAAGTATCTTATAGAAGATAATTAAAACCACACATTCTCCTCAGAAATGTTACTGTGACCTTCCTTACAAATTAAAAAGTTTTATGTATTTAAAAACAGATGAATAAATAGGCAAAATTTGAGAACATTCATCATAATTTACTATTTTTGTGGTAGCATATTTAGATAGTCAAAGGACACCCTCCCTTTTATTCCTAATCAGTGGACAAGCACATGTGTCCTTGAACATTTTTTCAACAGTCACATTTGAATGGCATTCTAATCCCCTGCCTAGTCTGACCCAGAAGGTACGGTTTGGGCTGCAGTTATATCTGCTGAAAACAAAGCAAGCCCCAGATGGCTGTGATTCCTTCTGCTACTTCTTAGATGGAGCAGGGCCCCAAATGGGATCATGAAAGACAGAGATAAGGAAAAGAAAATGAGAGAAATTAGGTAGCTAAGATTTACAGAAGGGCGTTGTAAACCATAGAGGTGTTACACGTTTGAGTTATTAACAATAACATGGAAATTTTTCTACCTATAAGACAAAACCTGCCTTTTTTACTTATTTCCATTATTGATATGCATTCCTTAATTGGGACAAGGGGTCACAGATGTATGGAACCAGCAAAGGGGGTGTGGGCACCATAGTAAGTGAGATGAGGGGGTTGGAAAGGCTCATGATCATCCTGTTCCAGGAAACAGAATTCAAGTTTGAAGACTATTTTCTTCAACTCCCTCTTCTGAATCTGCTTTGATGAATATGGTTCCTGATTTCTTAATGGCATTTTTTTCCATTCGCTTCAGTGTGATTATTCTGGATATTTGCTCATTGCAAAGATGTCTGCCTTCACCTTTGACTCCCATGCATGTTGCAAGTCACAAACCCTGAACTAGTCATCCCACCACCTTTGGAAAGGGTCAAGAAGTACCTGTAATATCAAATACCTGAGTGTGTGTAGGTGGAATGTTTCTTCTGCCATAAATCCCCAGCAGAGAGTCCTTGGCTAAAGAAATATTGAATTTCAGATATATTGGATGGTGGATAGTAATCTGGAAACGCCAGAATAAGCCAGGTGGAATGGTCTGCATGACCTGGGCACCAATGTCAACTTCTCCGGTGTCTATCGCTCGTCCCTTCTGAAATACTGGTTTTAAAAATAAACAAAATTAAACATAACATTAATCTTAACTTATAACGCAACAGTTTTTAGTTTTTCAAGAACAGATACATCAAAATGACTTACTTAAGCTCTTTCTTCCTCCCCACACCACCCATCTTTCAGAGCTTAACCCAAATTAAATATTTTCCAAGGAGCCCTCCCTAACCAACCACTATATCAGTCTCTCCCTTCTATTAAACTACTATTGCATTTATTTTCATCATTTGATTCATTTTACCCATTATTTACTGAATGCTGCCTCAGAAGCTGCAAGAGATACAAAGATGAGTCAGATGCAGTTCTTGCTCTCAAGGAGCTTTGAATATAAGAGATGAAATAGGACAAGTACACAAATAACCATGTTGTAAAAGAAAGTAAATACTCTGGTTATTCAAAGGGGGGAAGGTATTTGGTTGGAGGGTACTTCTCACCCTTAGCTGTCCCTATGCTATTTATCTTCCTTTATGTTCCTCCTTAGCACTTACCATCACCTAACATATAACCTGTTTTGCTTATTTACTGTCTGTTGCCTGGTTTCTCTCAATCCAATATAAGCCCCATGAGGCTGTGGCTGTTTTGTTCATTGCTTTATGCCCAGTAACTAGGAGAACGTGGATAAATAGTATGTGATAAGTACATATTTATTCAATAACTGAATGAATCAGAAAAGGGTCTTTATGGGATGTGGTATTGAATATGGGCCTTAAAAGAGGGAAAGGATTTCAACAGAGCTGTTGGGAAAGTTGTTGCACATGGAAGGAACACCTCGAACCAAAACAAAGAGGAGAGGTTACAGTAAAGCTAAGGTGTATATATAGAAGAGCAGTTGGAGATCGGGTGGGAGGGAAAGGATGGCATCATATTCTATAAGGCTTCGAGTGTCAGTCCTAAAGGGTTTATTTAAGAAAGAATGGAAAGCCACTGAAGGTTTTTAAGAAGAGTGGAGAGGTCTGGATACATTGGAAAGGCTAACCTTAAGGCAGAAGATAAGATGATTTAAACAGGGAAACACAAGAAGGATAGAGGAATTATGGGGCAATAATTCAGGTGAAATGACATGAAGGTGTAAATTTAGGGTGGGCCCAACAGTTCATGTGTAAAAAGTACATTCTAGCCAACTGTAACATAAGTCGGACTCTATCAAACAAACATTATGCTAAGTGAAATAAGCCAGTTAGAGAAAGACAAGTGCCATACGATCTCACTCATATGTGGAATTTAATGAACAAACTAAATTAACAAGCAAAACAGACGCAGACTCATAGAGACCAGGCAGACAGCTCTGGTGGGGTGGGAGTGGTGGGGGAAGGGGGTAAGGACTGAGGAAAAAAAAAGAGAAAGAACTCATGGACATGGATAACAGTATGGTGATTGCCGGAGGCGGGGGGGTGGGGGTGAAGGTGGAAGAGTGTATAAAGGGGATAAATGGTGATGCAAAAAATAAAATAAAGAAAAAATAAATTTAAAAAAGAGTATGCACAACAAAGGGAAAAAAAAATCAATAAATTGAAAAGGCAACCTACAGAATGGGACAAAATGTTATCAAGCTATATATCTGAAAAGAGGTTAATATCCAAAATATATAAAGACTCATACAACTCAATTACAAAAAAGCAAATAATTCAAATAAAAAATGAGTAAAAGACCTGAATAGACATTTTTCCAAAGAACACACGAATGACCAATAGGTATATGAAAAGGTGCTCAACATCACTAATCATTGCAAAAATACAAATCAAAACTACAATGAGATATCAACTCACACCTTTTAGGTTGGTTATTATCAAAAAGGCAAGAGATAATAAATGTTATTGAGAATGTAGAGGAAAGGGAAGCCTTATACTCTGTTGGTGGGAAGGTAAAATGGTAGAGTCATTTTGGAAAAGAATAATGGTTCCACAAAAAAATTAAAAATTGAACTACTGTATGATCCAGCAATCCCACTCCTGGTTATATATTGGAAGAAACAGAAATAAGGATCCCAAAGAGATATGTGCACACCCAAGTTCTTTGCTGCATTATTCCCAATAGCCAAGATATAGAAATAACCTAAAAGACCTTCAATGGATGAATGGATAAAAAAATGTGATACATACACACACACACACACACACACGTACACAAAATAGAATAAAAGGGAAGGAAATTCTGACATTTGCAACAAAATGGATGAGCCTAGAGGGCATTGTGCTAAGTGAAATAAGCCTAAGCCTAACAAAGACCGGTATTGAATGGTATCACTTATATGTGGAATCTAAAAAAAACCAAAATGATTTTCATCGAAACAGAGAATAGAATGGTGGCTGCCAGGGCTGGAAGGAGGGGCAAATGGGGTGATATAGGTGAAAGGGTTCATTCCCAGTAATAAGAAGTTCTGAGAATCTAATGTACAGCATGGCAACTACAGCTTGAAAGTCAAGCTTAAACATTCTCACCATGCACAAAGGGAGTTGACTGTGTTAACTATGTGAGGTGATGGATGTATTAATTACCTTGATCTTGGTAATTATTTTACAATGTATGTGTTCCTCACATTATCATGTTGTGCGCTTTAAATATAATACAACTATAGTCGTCAGTTATTCTTCAATAAAGTGAAAAACAATCACATAGTATCTGGGAAGTGTAAGAGTGGGTGATCCTGAAGAATGGTACAAATATTAATTAATGTACTATATATTTAAAAATCTGATTGCAATTTTAAGTATAAATATCAAAAAGCAAAGCAATCATTTTCTGAACTAGCATAGAGAAAATAATACTGAGATAAAAATAGTTTAAACAAAAGCAAGAAAGGGAAGGCCCAGACTAAAATGGTTAATTAAAAAACATGAAAGTAGGAAGATAGCTTTCATATATCTATACTTATAATTAAAACAAAGAGCAAGGAACGAAACATGTGTTAAAACAAAAGAACCATCATTCAGAATCAAAAAGTAAAATCGAATTACATGTGTTTTTTTAAAACAAAAAATGTATCTAAAACAGAATTATAACAATAAAAAGTTATTTCCCCAGGAAGAAAAGGGAAGAAAAAGGAAAGAAGAAAGACAATGTAAAGGAAGATCCTATAGCAGAGCGGCGCGGCTCAAAACTGAGTGGGCATAAGAGGGGGTCTTGTTAAAATGCAAATTATGATTCAGTTGGTCTGAGATTTGATACCTCTAACAAGTTCCCATTAATGCCCATGTTGAGTGGTCCACAGCCCACAGACGAAGAGGCGAAGTTCTTCGGACACCGGGACACTAGGTGTGGGGGCTAAGGGAAGGTTGGAATTGACCCCATAATTGTGAGTTTCGGTGACTCAGTGTTGGTAGTAAAAACAAGAATGCTAGAAGGAGATGGTTTGTGTGAGAGGAGGGTCAGTTTGGATAATCAGGTCTTTGTAATTTATTGCCATCTTCTTTAGTGATTTCTGATGTGCTAATTTAATATATATTTCTGTGGCATTCTTTGTTATGTGGTGGTTGGGTTGAAAAGGGATACCGGATACAAGAGGATTGCCTTGATCTTGAGCAAAGAGGATTAGCCTCAGGAGGAAAAGTTCAATTTGGCCTCACTCCACACCGCCTTTATATTTTTCAGCCATCATCTCCTTCTCCATGCCAAACACAGTTTAAAAACACACATGGTCTCTGTCCTTTGTGTTCATTCGCTGGAAAATTAACTCCCCATTAAGAAACACACCTGCAGTGGCTTTATTCAGAGGCCAATGCCTTATAGCTTTTAGCTCCCTGAAATACCTCCATTACTGCTTTTTGTGTTAAGGCCAAGAGTAATAACTATTTTAAGAATGTTCACTGTTAACTGTTAATAATACATTTCAAATGCAATTCTGAACATAATTATGTATTACAGGACACATAATTTTGTGGAATTGACATTTATAATAAAATATGCCCTTTGAGATGATGAATGACCAACTGAGGACCTTATTTTTCACTGAAAGTTACTTTTTCCCATGTCAGAAAGAACAGGTTGGTCCCCAAAGGGTTGATTATGCATTAACTCTTAAAGTCCTGAAGTTGACAAATGTCTTCAATGAGCAGGCAATTAAGAGGCCGTGTTTATGTGGACATTTACTTCTGTTCTCAATTTAATGTCCAGTTTGTCCAACTGCTTTCCTCATTGGGGGCTTTTATTGCTTCATAACATGCATCATTCGGTCATGCAAACAATATTACAAATATCAAACAATTTTAAATGATTTAAGTTTAGCAAACACTATTTTAAAGGTGCTGCAAACAGCCTTTAATGAATACAGACACTGTCATTTCTAAAAAATCAAGGCGAAACTGGCTGATGGACATTAACCTTTATATACGAGCCTTACCAAATGCTATACCATCTCTTCTGTCTGCACTTTATAGCACCATATATTGCATAATGAGGCTACTTAAATGTTATTCACTAAATCAAAAGAAACTTGTGAAGTTATGTTGCTGGAGTTTCCTGGTTATTAGCATTGCTAAATATCTGAAGCATAGAATCGTAAGACATTTATAAAAATAATTTTAACAGAAGATGGTCTTACCCTTTGAGAGTTTGCATCATAGCTAAGGCAAGGTAGGTGAAGAGAAATGACAACATGAATGAACATGTGGACTGTAATTTAAATACAAATAACAAAGCAAGCTAGTTGCAGTGAGTTGGTATTAGAGAAGAGGGATTCTCACAGCTTACAGATGGAAAATTTCACAGCCTCTAACCTTTTAGAGCTCAGTGCATCAGAAAGGAAAGTATCACCCTGTTAGTAGTTTAGATCACTAAATAGCCGGCCCCATTTTATTTTCTCTCTAAATTAGTTATGAATTACAATGTAGTGATTATTAGTTTCTTTATTATTTCATTATTTTCTTAATGTAACTCAAAGTGGGAAACTAAAAAGGAAAAAGTTTCGTGCAGAAAAACAGCATGGGCAAGGCCAGTGTGGCTCAGTGGTTGAGCATCGACCCATGAACCAGGAGGTCAAGGTTAGATTCCGG